CCCCCAGCTTTACCAGGGTAACTTTAACCAGGTTCCTTAACCTCTGAACCTTGATTTTCTCCTGTTAGATGGGGATAACCCAGGCATGGTGTGCATGCCTACAATCCCAGCGACTCATAAGTTCAAGGACAGTCTGGGCAACTGAGCAAGACCCTACCTCAAAATAAAAAATAAAAGGATTTGGGATATAGCTCTGGGGTAAAGTGCCCCCAGGCTCAAATCCCCAGTAACAAAAAAAAAAAAAGGAGATAGGTGGGAATAGATTCCTCAGTTTATTGAAAACTAATTCACTCAACAGATTTATTTAGCTTAGCACACAGTATACACTAGTAAATGTTATCCTCATTTGTATTGTGTTACCATTCATTTGCCAGCTTCTTGAGGACAGGGACACTGATCTACTAGAGACACAGAATTCTCAGAGGAAGAATGGAACTAGGAGAAACTTTAGTCCAAATTTTAATAAATTTTTTAATCCAAAATTCCCAACCTATCTGCTCAACAGACTCACCTGGGAAGTTGTTAAGTTTTGGTTACTAGACTTAATAATCCCAAACTGGGACAAGATATGGGGCATTTGTATTTTTAACAAGCTCCCCAGGTGCCAGGCTTGGGAACTACTCACCTAGCTCTTGTACCTGATGCAGAAACAGTAAAATGAAAGACCAAGATAAATCCCCTGTCTCTTCATGTCCTCTTCTGGCTAGGCTAGAGGCTGAGTAAGGATCAGGAGCTGTGTGTATGGTCCCTTTTCCAAGCTATGCTGGCTACCTTTTCATCAATTCCTATCCTGCACAACTCTCAGACATGCATGATGAATGATCAACTAGTTGTAAGTATTTCCTGTGTGAAGAAAGTCGGCATGTCACAGGACACATTGCTGAACATCGAACTCAACCAAAATATTGAACAAAAGAAATCCTTAGCCTGGCATACAAGGTCCTCCTTCATCTGTTCCCTACTGCTCTCTCCAGTCTCTTTTCTCACCAGAACCTCACATGTACCCTAACTCCCACCCAGCCTGTGGACACTGGGATGGAGGTCTCACATATGGCATACAGGAAGTTCAAGAGCAAACAGATAGGGAAGGACAGACAATCAAAATGTAGAGGTATGTTCACTTCCCAGACCCCACTAGAGAGCTCTGGAACTCAAGCAGAGTTCTCTGCTTTGCCAGCACAAATGAATCAAGTGTCACACTTTGCTCTTGCAGTCAACTTGAAGTCTATTTTTGAAATGGAATTTCTCTACCAGAAATTGTGCAAAACTCTGCTGGAAGCCACCAAAGTCCCACAGGACCTTCCATCTCCATTCAGGAAGAAAATGTCCACCGGCACTCTGTGCTCTCGCCCTGTCTCCCCCTTTCCTTTCCCTACAGAATGGCTGGTCTCACAGCTGCCTGCTTGTTCCCATCTTTCACAGCCTCATAAGACCCCTGCTCCTGTCTAAATGAGATTGTCTCATACTGTTGGTTATTACTTCTCCCAGAAGCCTCCAGGAACCAGCGTCCCTACATTCAGCTCTGGATTCCTCTCATGTCACAATCTTCCACCGTCTGCTACTCCATGGTAAGAAACAGGAGCCAAGCCATGAGATCATGGAGTTGTTTAACCCCTCAGCTTTAAGGGCAAAGACAGTTTATCTCCCCAGATCCCAGAACAAGGACTGGTGCACACAACTCAGTAAATGGAAAACTTGGTTGGCCATCTAATACTTGTTTATTGAACAAGCACATAGTATTTAGTAAGTCATAACACCATAATATGCTCAATAGAAAGCAGCAGCTCAATATTTGGGTACCTAAGTAATGCAGTCAGGATTTAGTGTCACACAACTGCATTTCAACCCCAGCCCTACTACTCGGCAGCTGAGACCTTGTTAACTGTCCAGTCTCTCCAACATGTGTCCAGTGAGACCTACTCCTAGGATCATTACACAGATTATAGACCACAGTTCATAGTTTACAACAGCATCCACCTCAGCACCATGAAATATGGTATAAGATGCTATCTTTTTAAGTGCAGCAGTAAGTAGTCAACTTGCCAGGAAATCCTGAGGGCAGAAGACAGTTGAAAACTGTATGATCACTTGTGCACATCAAACTACCAACAGATCTCAAGGGGGTAAATGCTAGGGCAACCCATAAGCAGCACCTAAATATCCAAAGACACTGCAACTTCCAGAACCACCTATAGCTTCTCTTCTTGCCACTCTTCATTCAAAGACCCCAGGGCTGAGGCTGTAGCTCTGGGGTAGAACGCTACCAATGCTCATTAGGCCACAGCTTCTCTCCAACATGAAGTAGATGGAAGGGATGTGCTGTTTATGATGCATTGTTTATTCCATTTAATAAAGTCAACTTTGTGTTCTTACAGTCTCTTCCAAAGTCTGTTCACAGCAGACAAGAGTCTGGTTAACATCAGGCTCAATAAAGTGCTGAATCTCCAAGAATCTCTTTTTTAAAAAATATTTTTTAGTTGAACACAATATCATTTTATTTATTTTTATGTGATGCTGAGGATCGAACCCAGGGCCTCACACATACTAGGCAAGCGCTCTACCGCTGAGCCACAACCCCAGCCCTCACCTACATTCTTTAAGCCTCAAAGCAATCAGGGCTATCAAGCAGGTCCCTTTGGAAGCCCCCAAACTCAAGCCTAGCACAGCTGCACACATCCCAGCAACTCAGAAGGATGAGACGGCAAGTCTCAAGATCAAAGCCAGTCTCAGAAACTTAAGTGAGACACTGTCTCAAAAACTAAAAAGCAGGGTGCAGTGAAAATGCCTGTAATTCCAGAGGTCTGAGTGATTGGGTCAGCAGGATCACAATTTCAAAGCCAGCCTCAGCAATGGCAAGGCGATTAGCAACTCAGTGATACCCTGTCTCTAAATAAAATACAAAACAAAGGCTGGTGATGTGGCTCAGTGTTTGAGTGCCCCTGAGTTCAACACCTAGTCAAAATAATACTAAAATAAAAGACTGGGGATATAGCTCAGTGGTAATGTGCTCTGGTTTAATTCTGGGTTTAAAAAAAAAGTTAACCCCAAACAAGGGACCAAGTGACTTCCTGAAAAATAAATACCCAGATAGACAAAATAGCAGAATTGTGCAGAGACACAGGGCAGATGGTAAATAGGGGCACAGTCTATAGTGGCCTGAAGAACAAATATCCATCCTGAGAGATACAGCCAAACCTCTGACTGCACCAACTGTCATGACAAAGGGCTTGGGACATGCTGGCTTGTGTATTTCAGAAAGCTGGAAATTTGGATCTCTTTGTAAGTTGTTCTAGGTTAAGTTTCAATTGCTATCCATGTCTAAGAAAGCTCACAGCTAGTCTGACTTCTATATTGCTGGAATCCAGTTCCAGGAAATTTCTCTGGAAAAAAAAAAAATAGGCCCTTTAAAACTCAATTCCCCAGTCTCTGGCCTGCATGACTGCACATGCGGTCCTCCCTGAGCACTCCCAACAGAATGAAAGCCTTTGATGCCAATCTTCAGGTTCCCTGCAGCTAGCTGCACCTTTTTCACAGCCTAATACCCAGCTCATCTGCTGCTTCCACCAGCCCTGCCCCTGAATTAACCATGGTCACCCCCAGCCAGCCCCAAGGTAATCTCTCCTTGCAATACTCCCAAGGACCTCATCTCATCACACACCCAGACTACCCAGCACTTCCCTTCTCCATTCCTGCTCCCATCCTAGCTGTCTCCCACTGCAAACTTTGCTTCTGCCAGGCATGACTTGGCCTCCACTGTTCACTTAAAAGTGCAAAGTCATCAAGTCCTACTCAACACCTCTTAGCTCACAAAGCTAAATGCCCCAGTCTTCCTCACTTTGTCCTAATGGCAGGCTCTCGGATCTCATTTCCTGTTCCTAGCAAGAAGATGGGTTCCCTAAGAGAGCCCACAGGTCCCACAACCCAAGTCTGCAACCTCAGAGCCACTAATGGTACAAATCCAAGCACACTGGAGATAACAGGTTCAGTCCCACAACTTGCCTTGTGTCCAGGCCCTCTCCAGAACATTCCACCCTTCCTGCTTCCATGAATATGGTTTTCTCCTGGGTCTTCTTCCTGCCTAACCATCTAGGTCTTGCTCATTGATTTCTGAAGTGTTTACACACGACTCCCAGGTAGGCCCACCTAAGGTATATCAATAAATGTGACCTCCCAGAAAAATAAGCCACCAAAACCCATAAATCACAAATGAACGTCTCCCTGACCCAAACATAGAAGCTGACTCATAATTCCTATCCCCGCAAAAGGCACCTCTCCCCAGCAGGTAATCCTAGAAACCCCACCCCACCCATCTCCCAACCTCATACAGCTGACCTACAACCCAGGTCCAGGCCTTGTCTACAAAGGCAGTGCACACCATACCCAATATTCATTAATTATAGTTGGCCCTCAAATTCCCCACTCAAATCACTCACCCCATACACCACAAAGAAGTGATCTAGTTTAACTTCTACTATAGACAGGAAATATTTATTAAGAATTAATTTATTAAGAATTAAGTTGGGGTCTAGGAATACTTAAAAAAGGGATTGATTTATTGAATAAATAAAAGCACTTATTTATTTTTGCACCAGCGATTGAACACAGGGGTACTTAACCACTAAGCTACATCTCTAGCTTTTTTTTTTTTTAATTTTAAGACAGGGTCTCACCAAGTTATTGAAGCTGGCCTACTGATCCTCCTCTCTCAGCCCACTGTAATCCTAGTCACCAGGATTGCAGGCCTGCTCCACCACACCAGCATCAAGCACCTCTTTTAGAGACCAACCTAGCACAACAAGATAAATACTGACATGACCACAGCAGATAGGCCACATAAGCCCTTGGCACACACTCCTGCTGCTAGGAAGGACAATCACTGCCCCATAGCACCCTGTTTTCACCAAATGCTTAATGAAATATGAACATAGGCAGAAATTAAAACCTGCCTTTATAACAACCCCCATTAAGCTTCAAATATATTTCAAATAACCACACATATGAAAAGGTTTTATAGTTTATTAATCCTCACGAAAAAGTCGCATAATCACCGCAGATAAAGTCATTGCAGAATCTTTACTCCTTTGGCTGTGAATCAAGAGAAAAAAATTTAGTCAGTAGCTGTCCCAAAAGTTCTTAAAAATTAAAAGTTCAGTCTTTAAATTAACACTCATGCAGAACAAGTATTAGTAACCTAGAATAGTTGTGATATAACAAAACGTTAAGTATCAAAAAATAAAACAACATTCAAGTTAGGAATAAAACAAAAATGAGTTAAACATTACCATTTTAAAAACAAACCATGTCAGTTAGTGTTTTAAGAAATTACAACTCTTCAGAGAATTTGCAAATCTACTCAGAAACGTATTTCATGTGATTCTTTAAACTACTCATCAATAAATTAATGAGTCTAGTGAACTATATTAAGAGTTTGAATTATACCTGTTATCCAATCTCCAGCTCACTGAATCAGTGGCGGGAAAGGGGAAGAGGAAAGAGGGAAAAGAAACAATTCATTAATGGTCCCTTTTTAAATTCTAAAATAATCTGCATTTAAGTACATGCAATCAGATATTTAAACATAATCATTTTGTCCTTTGTAACTGTATACAGAACACTTCTCCTTAGATACAACCACTAATTTTATTCCTCCCAATTTTATTTTAGTTCTAATGTTAACAAGGTTAACATAAATTCACAATGAAAGGATCATTATTTCAACACAGTACCAAGTCCAGGATGCCACTCCAGTGAGTGCACGGAGTGAACATACCTGAGCCTTGGTCCCTCCGCTTCTGCTGAAGATCATACTGGGAACCCTAACATCATCCACAGACCTGGGACTCAATAGACTAAAATCAAACTCCAGTTGGTCTAAATGATCAGGCAAGGTTTTTTTCTCCTGTCTTGGTACTGCTGATACTGGAGAATGAACCCAGGGGTACTAAGCTACATCCCAAACCCTTTTAATTTCTGAAATGGGTTCCCACTAAGCTGCCAAAGCTGGCCTCACTGGTGATCCTCCCGCCTCAATCTCTCCGAAGTAGCTGGGATTATAGATGTGTGCTACCATGCAAAGCCAAGCAAGTCATATTAAAGTTGTCTTAGGGCCAGGCGCGGTGGCACGCCTGCAATCCCATCAGCTCAGGTTATTGAGCCGAGGATCCTGCGTTCAAAGGCAGCCTCAGTAACGGTAAGGCGCAAATAAGCAACTCAGTGAGACCTTCTCTAAATAAAATACAGAATAGGGCTGGGGATGTAGCTCTGTGGCTGAGTACCCCTGAATTCAATCACCAGTATCCCACCCCACAAAAAAATCTGTCTCAGTTCAATACTTTGAAAGACACCATTCACAGACATAAGAGGAGTACAAAGTAACACTGAAAAAGAGGCAGTTTAACTGAAGTAAAAATGCCACAATTGCTATTCAAATAAGAATACTTATGCCTCAATTTAAAACAACTCTATTGCACCCAAAAGGTAAGAGCAAAAACCAATTCTGACTTATTTTTTAAACAAGAGTATAAGTGCTCATTTATGCATTTATTTTCCAGCTGGCTTTTCAGAGCAGTGCCACTAAGATCAGCAGTGCAATCTGAAGCAGGAATAGTGATGGATCAAGTCCCCACAGAAAACCCTCCACATGTGAGGGACCAAGAGACTGAATGTAGAGGGAAAAAGAAAGGCTGAGTACAAATCTTGACTGCCTTTTTTGCAACTTCTATGACCAGATATGATCAACAGGGAGAGGTGAGTAGTGAGTACCACAGTTCGTGAGCAGTGCTGTTCATTACTTAAGTCTGTGGTGCTGGGAAGACAATGACTATAGTCCCTGGCAGGCAATACAAGGTTTCCAGTCTTGCCTGGCAAGGAGTCAGACAGAGGGCAGTAGTCACCACCATTTCAAAGCCATACTACCCCCCACCCCACGCTTAGCCCGCTTCACCTTATAAAATTTAGGCTGTTTAAATGTGTCTGAAATGGAGTAGTGGACCATTCTGACCAGTTTGTGGGAAAAAGTGTTATTAGACTTTGATGTGAATATAGTTATCTCAAAAAGTTTTGTATTTAAAAGGGAACACCAGATACAAAGCCAGAGATTAAGTAGTAAGCAATAGAAATGGTAAATGGTGGCTTTAAGTGACTGCTACCAGGGTTTGTCAAATTCCACAGTCCAGCCAAAGAATCCACTGGTCTCATAGCCCCAGAAGGGAAAACCCCAGATGAGGGCCTTCCCCAAGCCAGTTTCTGAAGTGTGACTCTCTGGGACAGAGCATTTCTCAAGTACAAGTTAAAAGGATCTCAATGGACAGGGCACCTACCTTCCACCAGTGACTCACTCTACACATAACATGCATTTTTGAATTTCTAAAATAAACATTAATTAGCTTTTCCCCCTTCCTATCTCAAAACATAGCATTGACATTATTATAGACCATACTTATAAAACTGTCACCCAATAAAACTGTCACCCAAAAGCCAACATGCAAAGCATCAAAGCAAACTCAGTGAAGGTGATGCATCCCCACACCGTGCTCACAATCTCAGTACCTGCTAGACACTTCATTTCTGGTGAACAAGAAATCCAAGAAAGTAGAGGGAAAAGGCGAAAAAAAAAAAAGTTCACAGAACACTTGATTATTTAGTAACCCAACACCTTAATTCCAATCGACTATTTATAACGAGCTAGCAAAGCCGGTAAAAAGCTGCTACCATTAAAATCACTTAGATCTTGGCTAACTGGAACATTCCTGAGATCAGGAACCCTTTCCAGCATGCCAAGAAAACATGGGCCACATTGTTCCAACTGTTTCTTAAACCAGTGTCCTCGTTGAGAAACTAAGTTGAATTCTAGAGATCTGCTTCCTCTAACAGTTCAAACCAATCAGCAGTAAAAGAAAAACCCTGTGATAGGCCTTAAAAGGCGCTCATCAGGATCACTGGACCAATGTGGCCTTCATATTGTACTAATCTATGAGCTGACAGGGGGTGGGCCAAGCTACGCTACTAAAGGATTAAGACACTACTATGCTAGGTAGCTTCTTAAAACACATTACCTTCTGTAATCCAGAAGAGGAGGAAAAAAAAATTAAGAAAGATTATTAAAAAAAATAAATAAAACTCCTCCTTTCTAGAAACTAAAGATCTACAGCTGATATTTGTTTTCCTTGAACTATACCTTTTTGCCAGCACCAACATTGGCCTTCGCAGTCCCCCTGACTTTCTTCATTCTGTTCTTGCGTTCCTTTCGCTGTTTTCTTGAGGTCTTCTTCTTTTCATACAGGCCATGCTAAAGGTGAAAGAAGAATATCTCGGTAATCTTATCTACTTACCAGTCTTATATGGAAACCAACTAGATCCAGGGTTATGAAACCTTATTCCAAACCTACTTCTTTTTGCACTACCAAGACACCTCCCAACTGGCTTCCCTTTCAGGGACTCTTGAGTCATTTCAATCCCTACTTCTGAGGACTACAAAGCATTTACCAAGAACTTCCTTGGGCTGGGGATATAGCTCAGTTGGAAGAGTGCTTGCCTGCCATGCACAAGGCCCTGGGTTCAATCCCCAACACCACAAAAAAAAAAAAAAAAGAAAGAAACTTCCTACCATGGAGATTCCAAACTTCTCATCTTTACTCTGGCCATCTTTTACTTGCTGTTTCTGCTGCCTAAACATTGTTTCCAAATCTTCACAAAGCTTTTAGCTTCAAGTCACCTCCATAAGACCTACCCAGAACACCCAATTAAATACAGTGCAGCATCTGCATACTACACACAATTTCTCTCTTAGATGTATGTAAGGATTTATCTTATAACAGGGAGTAAAATGGCCTAAAAAGGAACAGAAAAAAAATAAGATGAGGTAATGTTTCTTTACTAGAATGTAAACTAGGTAGCTCGTCCAGTTCACTATTGTAGTGCTTGGTGTTCATTAAATGATCAAAAATTTTCATGCTTACTGGCTACCAAAGGGATTAAGTCCAAACTCAACAGGGTATTAAAAGATCCCACAGAATTTGGTCCCAGGTTACTATTCCAAACCCATCCCTCTACTTATTACGAATAGCCCATCTCCATGAGCACTATTTTACCTGTTCTTCTTCTCAAGTGCCAGACTCCATATCTGAAACCCAAATCTGTGCTTTAACTGGAACCTTTTCTCTTAACCCTTTAAGAGATCTTAAGACAGATGTTCCTTCCCACAATGCTTGGTCTTGCTCATTCTATTATACAATGCTACTGTCAAACAAAATAAATAAATAGCTGTCAAAAAATAGCTGTCAAACAAAAGACACCTACTCTTGCCAGTCTATGTTTGGGTTCATTTTTCTTCGCATAATCCAAGGAATCATAAATCATGCCAAAGCCAGTTGTCTTGCCACCTCCAAAATGGGTTCTGAATCCAAACACAAAGATGACATCTGGTGTGGTCTTGTACATTTTGGCTAATTTTTCTCGAATTTCTGTCTTAGGTACTGTTGCTTTCCCAGGGTGAAGAACATCAATGACCTAAAAGAAAATACTGAGTTTAGCATTCATTATATACCTTTAACAAACAATTAGCTGAAATTTAATGTGCCCTTCCTTACCATTTGTTTCCGCTGAAGCAGTCGGTTGGTCATGAACTTCCTGGTCCGGATAGTTACTGTGTCATTCTGAAAATATAACACACAAGTTAATAGAACTACAACTTTTCCTTGATATTGCTATTATTTTTCAGTATGTAAAACTATACTAATTTGGTACCATCAAGCCCTGAAGCCTAGTATTTACAATCAAATAATATTTAAGAGAATTCCTCAGTTGCAATACTGCAAGCATTCCACAGCCACATGGGTATGGCAAGAAAGCTACAACAAAAAAATAAACAAATTACCATCTCCACCCAAGGTAGAGTGCTGACTCACAAGACATATATAACATACACAAAAAAGCACTCCAGTTTTCTGTCAATCTGAAAATTTTATACCATTTTCAAAGTTAGGGATATCACTCTGGAGCAGTTGCTCAACCTCAGCACTATCAATTTTTTGGTTTGGATAAGTCTTTGTGGACTGTCCTATGTATTAGGATAAGAATCCCTAGCCTCTAATCATTGGCAATCCCTTTGAGCTACCCCTGCCTCCACATTGTAACAATCACAAATGGTGTACCCAGACTTTGCCTCAATTAGAGGCAAAAATCACCCTCAGATGAAAAATCACTTCTACAGTGCTTTGCAGAAACCCATTTACAACATCCTGAACAAATGTGAGATACAAAATGGTCCATGCACTAACTACAGCACTCTTCCTTTATAGAGAAGCAACCGAGCTCATTAGGAAACCATGTTCCTTTCTCTGAAAGACAGCTCTTACATTTAGTAAATAATTGCCAAGAAACGTGGACATTCAGCAAAATTAAACAGTCAGCTGACTGAAGAGTAAAATTCTACCAAAAAGAGGAGAGTTCTTTCTGGGCAGCAACTGACTTTATAATAGACTTTCCACTTCAGTTTGAGAAAGATACTCAATTCATCTCAATGGCATTTGATCTTGCAGGGAAAAGAGCTTCCAGGTGGAACTAAAATGAGGTGCTGAGCTCTTAACGATGGAGGTAACTGGTGGAGGCTTTGGGCAAGCCCACCTTTTTTTGGTGGCATTCATTTCCAATACCTCAGATTCCCTATTAAGAATCAGGAGGATCCATTTGGCCGACAAAGTTTTCTACTTTACACGTAGAAACGATTTCAACTCGCCCAGACGCCGGCAGCACCTTCTTCACGTTGCAGGCAGAAACCACCTGTAAGCTGCCCACAACGATTAGGGACTCAAGGCGGCAAGACGTTCCTCCTAGAGTCTACACCCCACCCATCCATTGTGCTCGAGGTCGACAAGCGCAGCGGTGGCTTCCGCAGTCCCCAGGCCGCGCAGCCCTAAGCCTGGCATGTCCTGGACAGCAGTGCAGCCCGCCAGCCAGCCCCGACTCCGCGCCACAATTCCGGAACCCTGGGCAGTCAGTCTCCATAAAACACCACCAGAGAAGAGGAACGGGACTTCGAGCTGCTGTAGCTCCGACCGTAGGACTAGGGGACGAAGGATGGCTCAGATTTGGGGTGGATGACAGCAGAAGTCTGGAGAGACTCACCATGATGGCGGTAGACGTTCAGACACCCAGGGAGGAAAAGGGAACCTTTTTCCGCCGGCCAATCATATCAACGCGCATGGAAGGACCCCGAGCGGCGCCGACGTGGGGGCGTGGCCAGGTCAGGGACCGACTGCTTCAATGCCTGTTTGAAATTGCCTAAAGCTCCGCCTTATTGGCCTTTGGCCACACCTCTAGGCTTCGAGAGGTTCACGCAAGCACGTGTTCCGTTTGCATTCGAGTCGTTTTGTTGAAAGAGTCTCTCCAAATTTAATTAATTAAGTTTCAAATTGTTTCCATATGAGTTGGAGGAGGTAAACCTGGAAGGCATCTTAGGAGACCCTCCGGGAAGCTCTTCCTTTTACAGCTTGGGAAACAACAGAAACCTTGACTTCAAAATCTCTGTTAGTGCACAACGCAACGTGTTATTATAACTAAGAATTAACTTTTTGAGAATTTTCTGGAAATTCTCTGATTAATTTTTTTTTAACTCTTTGCCCTTTTCCTGAAACCTATTCCTTACACAGACTGGGCTTTTAATAAGTATTTGCTTGATCCAGAAATTTGTTCTGCTAACAGTGTGACAGATGGGTAGAGAGGAAGAGTGTAAGTGCATGTTCCAAGGACACATTAGGAAGAATTTCCCCAAGGTTGGTTTGGAAAAGAGTTCGAAGGCTACTTTTCTAAAGTCTTAGGAACAGTAAAATTTGAACTCACTGAGTGATGACTAATGTTCCTACATTCTAATGACTCCACCTTTATTTTTCCACTCGACCTCACCAACTCTTAAGAAATAAGGGACTCACCCTTTTTATAGATGGGAAAACTGGGATTCGTGAAGTTAAGATCACACAGCGCTTAAAAGGTGGTTCCTAAACTGGGCATAATGGTATACAACTATAATCCCAGCTGCTCCGGAGTCTAAGACTGGAGGATCGTGAGTTCAAAGCCATCCTCAGCAATTTAGCGAGGCTCTAAATAACTTAGCGAGACAAGAGGGCTGGGGATGTGGCTCAGTGGTTAAATACCCCTGGATTCAATCCCTATACCCCTCTCCCGCCAAAATGTAGTACCTAGATGTCCATGATGGCAATTTGCTCTTAATCTCTAAATGATAAACTCTCTCTTTACGCAAATCTTGTTGGTAGAGGTGTCCTTTGGTATTCTTAGGGGGGATTCCATGACCTTCTTCTTCTCTCCTCCCAGGTTACTAAAATCCATGGATATTCAAGTCCCTTATATAAAAAGTGGCGTAGTATTTGCATTAACGTATAACACATGCACATCCTCCAAATGTACAAAGGTTTTTGTTTGTTGTAAAACAAGTGTCACTGTGTTATCCAGGCTGGCCAGGAACTCCTAGGCTCAGGGAATCCTCCCTCCTTGGCCTCTGGAGTAGCTAGGACTGCAGGGATGTACAAGAACACCTGACTTCTCTTTGCTTTATTCACTGATTTATTTTTGTGATGCTGGAGATAGAACCCAGGGCTTTCTGCATTCTAGAACCACCACCCCCATCTTTCATATGTGCAGATGATTTTTTTTTTTTGGAGGGGGGAGAATACCAGGGATTGAACCCAGAGGTGCTTAACCACTGAGCCACATTCCCAGCCCTTTTGTGTATTTTATTTAGAGACAGGGTCTCACTGAGTTGCTTAGGACCTTGCTAAGTTGCTGGGGCTGGCTTCGAACTCACAATACTCCTGCCTCAGCCTCCGGAGCTGCTGGGATTATAGGCAGGTGCCACTGCACCTGGCTGTGCAGATGACTCTTTAACCTAACTCTAGGTTACCTATAATACCTAGTACAATGCGAACTCTATTAACTTGTATTGATTAATGAATAATAAGAAAAAATTCTGTATATTTGTTCAGTATGTAATTTGTTTTTAATATTTTCAATCTGTAGTTGGTTGAGTCCACCACAGATGTGGAACCCAAAGGTACATTTGTCAACATTACTCCAAAGATATATTGGGTGCTTGACTTCTAAAATAGGTTAAAATTCTGATTTTCTTTTTGTCTGTGACATTTGAATTTTACTAGTGAGGCTCTATGGCATCTGGAAATTATAATGAAATTCCTTCTTCAAATTCAGAGGTTTGGGGTTCAGTTTAGTTTCTCACAAATAGTAAGGAATTGGTTCTAGGTTCTGTATTCCCAAGCCCTGGCAGTGTGATTTCCTTGCCTGTTTTCTGAACTAAGATATCACAGTTGGCTCATCTTCCACAGATTGTAACAGACTATAAACAAGCAATTTGTTTCTTCAATATATAAATGATCTTTCCTTTACCTTCTCCTCATTTCCCTCGCTCACCATGGCTCAGTTTTCCCTCAGAACTGCCAGATTTTAGCTAAGCATAGCAACACATGCCTGTGATCCCAGCGACTCTGGACGCTGAGGCAGGAGGATTATAAATTTCAGGCCAGCCTTAGCAATTTAGAAAGACCCCGTCTCAAAAATAAAAAAAGTGATGGAGATGTAGCTCAGTTGTAGAAAGTTTGCCTAGTATGTGCTGGGGTTCTATCTCAGTATCTTTAAAAAAAAAAAAAGTTATACTTCGCCTATGTCTGAAGGCCTGGCTAGGTGAACCTGAAATAAGTTTTTTTTTAAATGAACTGCAAAATATTGGTGTAATTTGAAGAAGGAGCCACAAGGTGGCGGTGTACGAAGCGGGTATAAAGTGGTTTGTAACAGGCTTCTCTTGACAGACACGCGGAGGAAGAGGAAGTGAGCACGTGGGGAGCTCTACGGTGGCCGAGAGGTGCCAGGATTGTTTTAACCGTGTGTTCAGTAGCACTCCGGGAGGCGTAAGAAGCATCAATTCTCTGATCCGAGTACCGAGGAGGGCTCCCGGACTGCCGGCACCATGGTGAAGGAACAGTTCCGGGAGACGGATGTGGCGAAGAAAATGTAAGATGGAATAAAAAAGGGAGAAGGAATGAGAGGCAGAGGGGGCCGAGGTTAGAGGTCCCTTAACTCGAAGGGTCACAGGTGAGGGACTCTAGGAGGAGAGCAGGTGTGACCAAGGATCCGAAGTACCAGGGAGGGTCAAAGAGCACTGGGCAGGCCAAGGGAATTTCGGCACCTGGAGGTCCCTGGACTTGGGCAGAGAAGGCCGACGGCCTGAGCCTGGGCCAAGGGAACAACCTGGGTCGAAACGCGGGTCTCCCGGAGTCAGGTGATGACACCCTACCCCCAGCCTTTTTTTTTTTTTTTCTTTTTTTTCCCATCGAACTCTTTCCCTAGCTGTAGCCAGGAAAGCAGTCCGGGGCGGGGACTATGTCTGATGTGAGTTTTGCCGCAGAGCGCATGACAAGGAGGCAGTATTTGCTGACCCGAAGGATGGGGTTGTCAGCTAGAAAACTTGTATCACAGTTCAATGGGTGACAGCCTCAGCAATGAAACCGCTAAATGAAGCTCTCCTTCAGCGCTTATATATTTGGCAGTGGCCCCCGATTAGAGTTTTCAGTTTAAACGTGAATCCATCATTTTTGCAGCAAATACTCAGGAGGATGTTGTGTGCTGGGTGCAGTGTTGAGCATTAGAGATAAGGCATGATCAGAGCTGAGCGCAGTGGTGCAACACCTGTAAACTCAGCAACTGGGGATGCCAAGTTCAAGACCAACTTCAGCAATTCAACAAGACCCTAAGCAACTTAGTAAGACTGTGTCTCAAAATAAAAAGGCCTGTGATATAGCTTAGTGGTAGACACTCTTGGGTTCAATCCCCAGTACCAAAAAAAAAAAAAAGAACAAGAATATGACCTTTGTTGTCTAGTTGGAGAAAGTAAAAAGGTCAGCAGGGTAGACAGAGAGGTTTTTGAGAGCACATAATGGGTCCTGGCAGAAAAAGGCAGACCAAGCAGTCTTCTTCAAGGAACATACTGGAAGATGTGATGAGAACAAAGCAGGAGATTTGAAGCTGTGTGAAGGAGTCTCCTCACCCACAGCTATAGAAGGCTGACTATATCTATTTATTATTTGTCTTCACCACTCTGAACTGAACTTATTTATCTTATCTAATCTGAATCTTTAGCACCTAGAGTGGTGTCTGGCCCATAGCAAAAACTCAATCTATTAGAAGAATGAATGAAGAGCGAAATATGGGAGGGAAAGTATCCATTTTAGATATGGCAAGTTAAGATGCCTGTGAGATATACAAGTGGAAATGTTCAGAATAGGTGTCTTGTACAGGTTTCCAATAGAATGGAAGTGGCTGACTGAAAGAGATTTGACAGACATTGACACATAGTCAAGTTATGTAATCACTTAGGAGGAATGTATAGAATGCAAAGAGGACAAGGATTGTAATCCTTGGTAGGGTGGGCCTCTAAAAGAAGGCATAATTAGACAGGGGAGGAAAACTCAAGAGTATGGTGTCCCTAAAACCCAGAGAAGGAAGGACTTCAAGATGGAGGTGCTAACGCCACAAAGCAATAAAATGAGGAAGGTCTTACTAGATTCTGCAGCAAGCAGGTCACCTCTATGACCTTAGTGAGAACCATGCATTAGATAGTCTGGTAGGACAGAAGGATGTTTTGAAGGAAAAACAGCAAAAGTTTGAGTATATTTAATATTGATGAGGAAGAGCTTAAAGAGAGAGTTGGAAAGGCAGTTTGGTGTGCTGCATGATCACAATTTTTGGTTACAAGTTTTGATGTTGTAACTCTCATTTCTTTCTATTCCAGAAGCCACATCTGTTTTGGAATGAAGTCACCTGAGGAGATGCGCCAACAGGCACACATCCAGGTTGTGAGTAAGAACTTGTACAGCCAGGACAACAACCATGCCCCCTTACTGTATGGGGTGCTTGACCACAGGATGGTAAGTCTCCTTCCCCTCTAAGTGCCTAAGTCTTGACCTACTGATTAATCTGTTGACTTACAAGATTGGAAGTAGCTGGGGCTTCTTTCCTTCCTGGCTCCCTGCATATCTGAGACAGTTTGGGCCTCCAGCCATCCGTTAGCCAGATGTGAATACACTATAGCTTCCGTTTGGTTCTGATGCTGAGTCATCTACCAGGTGTGAGGACTGAGCTCCCATCCTATCCAGTGGTCTCTGTTGATCATTTGCTGTTTTCTTCAAAGGGCACCAGTGAAAAGGACCGTCCTTGTGAAACCTGTGGAAAAAACTTAGCTGACTGTC